CACCTCCTCTCGCACCTGGCGCTGCGGGGCAAGGAGCTGCTGCACCGCGGGCTCTGCGGCCTGCTGGGCTGCGGCCAGGCCCTGGCCAGGCAGGGCTGCGAGGGCCTGGCCATCGGCACCAGCCTGCTGGCCTACCTCGTCAACAGCCTCGTCAACGTGTGCCTCATCGGCACGCAGAACCTCTTCACCCTGCTCGCGGCCCTGTGGGACTCCGTCGCCGGCCCCTTCCTCAGAGTCACCGACCTGCTGGCTGCTTTCCTCGCGCACGTCTCCAGCGGTGCCATCGCGGTGTCCATCCTGCTGTGGTCGCCCTGCCAGCTGGCCTTCGAGCTCCTGGCCTCCGTCGCCGAGCTCTTCGTCAGCATCTTCTTTGTGAATATTTATGGTCTGGTCTTGCTCCTCCTCATTATTGTTGTCAGCGCCTTTGTCTTCAACCCCGGGCTGCTGTGGACGCTGACAGGCTACGTGCTGGGCTACTTCAACACGCTGCCTTCCTACCACCGCCTGCAGCGTGATGTGTGGCGGCTCTATCAGGTGGCGGTCCTGACGCTGGGTATGGCCATGACCTCCCAGGCCTGGCGCAGGTTGGTGGACTGGAGCCTGCAGGTGACCAACTGGAGCCAAGGAGGCAGGACGACGAACCGGGAAAGCAACCAGCGAGGGGCAGCTGCGCCCATCCCGAGACCAGCGGCCCCTGGCAGGCTGATGCTGGCAGGGGTCGGCCAGCTGCCAGCTGAGCACGAGGACCAGCCGGATGCAGAGCAGGTACCGCAAGCGCGTCCTGCTCTGAGTCGAAGTGCCGTGGCAGGACAGCGTCTCCAGCCGTCCAGGGAGGAACCGAGCACCTCCTGGGGGAAAGCTCTGAGGAGGCAGCAGCTGAACGCAGCAGCTGGGGATGGTGAGGGCACTCCGGATAATGACCCCTGGGTGCTCCTGAAAGAACAAGAGGAACGTAAGAAATGTGTCATCTGTCAAGACCAAACCAAGACAGTCCTGCTTCTGCCCTGCAGGCACCTGTGCCTGTGTCAGGAGTGCACGGAAGTCCTCCTGCAGCAGGCCATCTACCAGCGCAACTGCCCGCTGTGCCGCCAGATGATCCTCCAGACGCTCAATGTGTACTTGTGAACCCAAGGGGTGGGTGGCTTGGGTCATTTTCCCAGGAGATCAAGGGCACCCGTGTCTCTGTCTCTTTCCGGGAAGCAGAACGTCCCAGGGCTGCCTTGAGCGGCTTCCAAAGAACTAAGCATGGTGCTGAAAGGGCAAAAGGCTGTTGGGGGTGTCTGCTAGCCATACTTGCTACGTAACTAGATTGTAGCTCTTGCTAGCAAGCACGATAACCGATCTCTGCAGCAGGCTGAAAGAGTTACCTTTTTTCTGTTGACAACTTTTGCTGTTTCAGGGCCTGTTGCCTCAAGCCTGCAGCAGTCTGAGATCCAAAGCAGAGCACAGAAAGACGCTCTGGTCCCTCCTAGCCAAAGCTGATGGAAAGGTTAAAGGCTATGCCCTCCTGGGAATCACAGGGGCTGGCGCAAGGCAAGGGAGGGCTTTTCCCAAGATCTGACCAGAAAACTACCTGGCAGACTGCATTCACGCCTCTGTTTCCTCCTCCCACCATCTAAGTGGGGCAGCTCCCTGGGGAGGGAGAAGTGTGCCCCTTTTGCAAGGCCCTAGGAGAGCAACGAGCACACTCGAGCTTTTTAAGCTTTGCTACCAAAGGGCTGAGCCTGGCTCTCAGCTGGAGGAGAGCAGGGTTTCTGGGGTACTTCAGTATCCCAGGCACCATGGCTTTGGTTTTGGAACTTCCTGTTCCCCTTGCCAGGACAACGAGGAGCTGTGACGAACACAGGCTCGCTGCAGGCCGGCTGACTGCAGAGCTCAGTGTTGCTGCCGCTTCCACGCATCACCTATGCAAGACTAGCAAGCACACATCAGGTTACTCACGCGGGGAGGCTGGAGGGAGTTACTCTTTCTGCAGGGGTGGTGGTGCTGCTTGGGGAACCTGAGGGCTGGCTGGCTGGCTGGCCAGTGCTCACAGCCCTGGCAGCAGCAGCACATGTCTGAGCCAATGCTGGAGAATCCTGTCTAGATATTACACATTTTCTTCAGGCTCAGAGTGCCATGGAACTGGCTGGTTCACACCAGTGCTTGCTCGCTGCTTCCCAGGCTGGGCTGGCTAGAGGGAGTAACTCTCTGGGAGGAGAGAGGACACCCCAAAGCTCCTGGGGGCCCACTGAGACATTCCAGCTCCAGGCACAAGTTCTGCATATCCGTGCTGCGGATCTGCAGCTGTGTGCATGGAGCGGTACCAGGACCATGGCTATCTTTGATTAGGGCAGGGTTACACTGCTGTTCTGTCTTACTGTCTGTCAGAAATGTAGCTAGTTTTATTTAAAAGTGTCCCCTGAAGTCTAACGAGGGCATCCGATCCTGGCTGGGGAGGCCTGAGATGGCTCATCCCAGCTTGGTCAACCAGCACCATTCCAAGAAATTGCTGGGCTGCAAGAGGGCCTTGCACTAAAAAGTTTTTCCTTTTCCAGCTGCTTGCCTGGGGTCAGCTACACCCCACAGCCAATTTTGGCTGGAGCCAGACTGGAAAGAGTCTTGACTCCAGGACTGCAAGCCAAGAGCCTGAGGGCGGCTGGCATGGTCTTCCTTTCCTAGTCTTCTTGATGAGCGATTTAAGCCAAAACAGAAGCAGCAGAGAGGCCAGGCCATGCTGGGAGACCCCTCTGCCCTGTAAACCTGAGTGTGGCAAGATACTATCTTGTTGGAGAGTGGCTCTGCTCTGGGAGGCACTGCAGGGGCTGGTTGCCCCCACGTTTGCTGGGGACCGGAGGGACTCCCTGGGCCAAGCTGGGCTCCTGAGCACTAATAGGTGTTAGAAGGGCCTGGCCTCAGGGCCGTCAGCCGCTTCCACCTCACTTCACAGATGCAAAGGTCCCTGCCCAAGCCCTGTGGTTCAGCCTCTTGCCCCCGTGCCTCCCCAGACGCACACCACCCATGTTAATGCTTGCTCTCCCCAGCCACCTCTCCTGCTGCTGCAGCCAGTGGCACTTGCAGTTGAGTAGCCAAGCCCTTGCCGGAGCAGTGAGTGCAGCCCCGCAGACTGTGCTCCCCAGGGTCCAGCCTGTCCCAGGCACCTGCAGAGGTCCTCCTGCAAGAGGAGCCGGGGAGCTGCACCCTTCCCTGGGTGTGCCTCTGGAGACACCCAGGAGTGGGAGTGTGGCCACGCTCCTGGCTGCAGGCAGTGGTGTTTGGTGGGGACCAGCTCATGGATCTTGGGGTGCAATGTTTCCTACATGAACTACAGGGGGGAAGGACACCTCCCCAGGACTGCAGTTTCTCCCCTCAAACCCTTTTTCTATTATAGCAGTCACGCTTATTGTTTTAGGGCCTGTTTGTTTTGCTGCCTGTTTATAAAAAGAGAGGAAGCTTTGCCTTAAGTTTAACTCTTTGCACTATGGACTAGATACTGAGCAGATTAAAGTCTCCTTTACCAAGAGCTGCCTGCTGCCTCATTCTTGGGAAGGGCTTTCTCTGGGGGGATGGGGTCTCCTCTTTGCTCGCCCCTGGGCTCCAGAGGAAGCCCACCACTCCCCGCCAAGGGTCAGAGCTGGAGGGCCAACACCACCAGCAAGCTCAGGGGTACTCGTCTGGAGGTGCTTCCACCCAGAAAGGCAGTGCTGTGGGATACCCTGGAGCCAGGCTGCTGCACAGGAAGAGCCTGGCACCGAGCAGATTAATCTACGCCCAAAGACACAGTGGGTGGGCTTTCCAGGGCTGGCATCCCCCCTGCTAACACAGAGCAAGAGGAGGTGGTTGTGGCTATGCCTGCGCAAGGCGACAGAGAGTGCAGCTTGCAAGGCACCAGTGCTAATGTCTGCATCTTGCCTGGAGAGGTGTTTGGTGCTCCAGCCTCTTCCGGACCCAGGAGCAGGCGGAGTGGCTGGGGTAGCTCTTGCTGGCAAGGGCCCAGGACTGGTGGGCATCTTCTCTCCACTCCTAATTCAGGTCACTTTGAGCTGTGTAGCGAGGAGAGAAGCAATGGCTGCTTCGCAGAGGGGCTTGTACACACAGCTTTGTCTCTTTTCAGGAGCAATTCCTCTCTGTACTGGTGCAAAGGGATTCGTACTCGGGTTCTCAAGAGCTGGAGCTCCCCAAAAGCTGAGCAGCCCAAAGAGGAGGGGCTGGAATTTCCCAGGCTGGCAGAAACATGCACAGGGACATGTAATCCCTGCTCCTATGTGTCCTTGGCACTTCAGTGTCCTGCTGCTTGCGATGGAGGGTGTTGGCAAGCCCGACTGTCCCAGGAATGGGGGCAGCACCCGAAGCGCTAAGAGTTGTGGAGCAGCAGGCAGCACAGGGCTCAGTCTTGCCTTGCAGAAAGGCTGTGGCAGTTCAGCCGCGCTGGGCTACTGGTGAGCAGATGCATTCACTGCACAATGAGTTACTCCCTGGCCACGATCTGAGCTCTTGGCAGGTTGCCGTGTGCTTTTAAGCACCCTCTGCTTCTCCAGCATCCTTGTAAATTGTTTGGAAAAAATGTTTCGGGACCCTGATGGGCAGAGACCCCAGGAGTTCTGGCTCACCCTGCCCTGAACTCACCTGCCTTGGCAGGGCCCTGCCAGCAAACTAGCTAATTTTAACCAGGATCCTCTCATGCCCTGGCTGAAAACCACAGTGGGGAGAGGGGGCTGCTGGGAGGCCAAAAAGAGACGGACATCTGCTGCAGGAGCACGGCTCTGCCAGGCACAGTGCAGGCACAGGCAGGAGGGCCATGCCAGCAGCCCGCCAGAGCCCTGCAGGGGTCTGGCTGTGGATGGGTGACAACCGGGGAAACTGAGGCACTGCTCAGCCTTTCTCTCTTGCTCCCAGGGTGTGTGAGCCAAGGCAGGCTGGGCAACCCAGGGAGGCTGCAGAGCTGCCCTGGGGCAGGAGGACTGGGCCAGCAGGCGAACGTCTGCCATCCCCTGCACAGGCAGGGTGCTCCCAGTCCACCACCCCCCCCAGCCAGCCCTAGTGGGGGACAGAGAGGGTGTTCAGCCGCCTCAGCCCACTGCGGCCAAGCCTGCCAAGTGCGGACAGGATGTAAAAGACACAGCCTTCCCCCGGGAGCCATCCTGCACGCACTTGGCTCACTCGCTGGCCAAGCAGCAAGCAATTAGGGGAGGAAAATGCAACCACCTCCCGGCTGACGGGCAGCGCATAAGGTCCCTGAGACTGACGATCAGCCATGCCAGACCTGCCTGCTCTGGAACTGTGGCTTTTGGTGCAGGGCTGCACTGCCTGAGGAGGGCGTCCAGCAGCAGCAATGCTCGCAGACCAGTCCAGGGCACAAGATCTGGAGTCCCCAGGGGTACTCCCTACTCCAGAGCTTGCCTGGGAGCCTCACGCGTGAGCCAAGTGGGCTGGTCTCAGCCCATCACAATGGCAAGACCCTTCTCCCTTCCCCAAGGAGGGAGGAGCATGATACTGCTAGGTTACTCCAGTTTAGGAGCACTGGGGTGGTGGGGGCTGACAGCTTGCTGAAACTGGGACCCCCCCCAGACCCTGGGAAAATCCCTGGGATCCCTTTGTCAGCCCAGCTGCAACGCCCCAGCCCTAATGAGCCACTAGTCCCAGCCCAGGGACAACAGCCATCATCTGCCTGACAGCAGGGAGCTGGCACAACAGACACTCACTGCAGATGTGCAGCAGCACGAGCAGCTAATGATACCAGGCCAACAGGGAGGGAGCAGGTGATGATCAGCAGCCGAACTGTGGGGGGCCTTTGGGCTGCTCCTAGGCACCAGCTTTGCTCCCTCATTAGCGGCTCAGCACAGGGAGCCACACCGGCTCCCTGAACACAGCAGCGATCCCAGTGCCTGGGAGCTGCAGTGCTGAGGCCTCGGGGACACAGAGTGGCTGAGGCTAGCAGGGACCTCGAGATCATCCAGCCCAACCCCCTGCTCAGGCAAGGGCAGCTAGAGCAGGTTGCACAGGACTGTGGCCAGTCGGGTTCTGAATATCTCCATGGATGGAGACTCTACTACCTCTCTGAGCAGCCTGTGCCAGGGTTTGATCACCCTCACAGTAGAAGATGGACAGCCCTTTCCTGGAATCTCTCCAGTACGTCCACGTCTTGTACTGGGGAGCCCAGCACCGGACCTAGCACTGCAGCTATGCCTGACCAGTGCTGAGCAGAGGGGGAGGATCACCTCCCTCCAGCTGCTGGCAATGCTCCTCCTAATGCAGCCCAGTGGCCTTCCTTGCCACGAGGGCACACTGCTGGCTTGTAGTAGACTTGTTGCCCACCAGGATCCACAGGGTCTTCTCTGGGAAGTTGCTTTCCAGCCAGTCATCCACCAGCATGTGCTGATATATAGGGTTATTTCTCCCCAGGTGCAGGACTTGGCATTTCCTTTTGCTGAACTGGCCCTAGCCCCATCCCTGCATGCTCAGACAGTCTCCTTATTCCTCCTAGGTCAATGCAGATAACCTGCCACCTCTGATTCCTGCTCACTGGGATGAACTGCTTGAGCTTGGAGGAGCTGATCCTTGGTCCTCTTGGACACCTCTTCTCTCCAGGACATGGGATTCCCACAAGCAGATCCCTGAAGAGGCCAGCGTCTGCTCTCCTGAAATCCAGGGTTGTGGTCCTGCTTTTGTCTTTTCTTCTCTCAGGATCCTGAGCTTCCCCTGGCCAGTCCTTCCTTGTCTGTGAGGCCCAGCAGAGCACCTCTCCTCAATCACCCATGTCAGCAAGATGTTGTCAACACGCTCCAGAAGCTTTCCAGGCTGCTTGTGCCCTGCTGGGCTGTCTCTCCAGCAGATATCAGGGGCATTCCAGCTCCCTGTAAGGACCAGGGCCTGCTGACATTGGGCTTCTTTCAGATGCCTGAAGAAGGCAGGCTGCATCCTGATCAGGCTGTGTGTAGCAAATGCCCACACAGCTTCCTGCTAATCCTGACCCATCAGCCCTCAGCTGCCGCATCAGCCATCATCCCAAAGAGGCTGCAGCCCTGTAAGTGCTCACAGGCCACTAGTTCCTCCCATCTCCCCCCATCCTGCCTGCATTAGTGGCCCCCGCACATGCCCACTTCCCAGCAAGGCCGTGAGAGCTTGCCCACAACGCTGTCCTGCGGGCACTGCCCTATCCGTGCCCCTATGCTGAAGTGACCCCAATTCAACCCTGTTTTGTTGGTAACAGAGCCCCTGCTGTTCACACCCCCTGAGCACTTTTCTTGCCCACCCCATCCACCACATCCCCACCTGAGTGACGATTGTCCCCCCCCCCGCCATTCCCAGTTTAAAGCTCTCCTTACCAGGTCAGCTGGCCTGCTGGCAGAGGTCACCTGAAGATGACTGGAGAGTGCTCCCTGCACCTCGTCAGCGATGAGGGCACTGAACCTCTGCCATAACTGCAAAAACTTTCGGGTGGAGCAAGAGCCATCCTTCTGCTGCCAGGAGTCACCAGGACAACCTTCACCATCGAGGGCATTTCCATTTTCAAACCTGGCAGGCACTCGCTCTGCCACCATAGTTGAAGGTTTGGGCTCTTGTAGCTGTAGGGTCTCAGAGATGATCCAGTTGATCTCTTTCACGCCCTCTCTGATGCCACGCAGCCTGCTGACCTCCTCTAGCAGCTCCTCTACTTGGCAGTACAGGTCCAAGATGTGCAAAACCACACACCTCTTGCAGGCTGCCAGCCAGGTTCACCAGCCACAGCCACAGCAAGAGGCCCCATGCACCCTCTGCAGCTCAGGGCTAGCCAGGCTGCATCCTCCAGCATTGCAGGAAGAGTTGCTCCAATGGCTGCTGGGGACTGTGACCTTGGTGTGCCAAGGACACGCATGCTGCTCTGAAAAGAGGTGCTGATACTTTAAAAAAAACCCCAAACCCACAAAACCCCACCTTTCTGCACAAACTGCTGCCTCTGTCAGTGACGCTACAGTACCTGTGTGCTGAGCCTGGCTCTTATATAGGCTTCCTCGCACTGCCTAGGGGATGCTGGCCCCTCCCTAACCTGGGCTCAGCTGGAACAGGGGCTTCAAGCACTCCTTCCTCAGGGGCAGCTGGTAGAGCTTATCAGAAGCAGCTGGAGCTTACCAGAAACTTGCCAGAAGTCAAGGTCTCCTGTGGCTCTCCTTCCCTTATCCTTATCTTATCCTCTTCCTCATCCTCCCCAGGCAGCCGCAAGCACCCCCATGTTCCTCGGAGGGTTCCCAGCAGTCCCCCAGTGATCCCAGACAAAGTGTCCAGAACACCAAGAGCATCTCAAAGAAAGCAGAGCCCAGAAAATGCTGTGCCAAGTCCTATCTCTGTGGCTGCCTCTGTTAGCTGTGCTCCCCCACATCATGATAGGGACCAGAGGATGCTCCCAGCCCCCCCACACCTCCCCTGACCTCGTCTCAAGAAAAGTCATTTTCCTCCTCCCAGAGTAGACAGTGCCGGCCATCGATCTGCTCTGCGGTGTTGTTTGCCCCTGGGCAGCTCTGCTTACAGAAAAGGCCATCATCAACCCAAACAGACGCTTCCACTGTAACCCAATCCTTGCGGCTGGGGCTGGGAAGAGGAGCCTGCAAGATGGCTAGCAGAGCCCCTCTGCACCCCAGGGGGGGGTGAGGCTTCACCCCTGGCCCCAGCACCTCCACAGGCCCCTATGGGTTGGGGGTGGCCCTTGGCACTGCTGGACTGTGCATCCCCCTCCTCAGTCCCACACAGCCAGGCAGGTTGCAGTGACATGCCCTTGACCCCAGGTCCCTGCATGGTCCCCAGTCCCAGGGTGGGGAGCTGTGGGGCTGCGGGCAGCCCCCTTTGGGGGTGGCGTTGGCCCTCCACAGGGGCACACAGGCTGGCCCCACGGCTGCTGCCAGCCTGCCCCAGCTCCCGCAGGGTTTGTTCATCCCGGATGGGCACGGCCATAGTCCTGGGGCCTCCACGCAGCACGGCTTGGGGGGCAGCAGGGGAGCCGGGCCAGAGGAGAGGTGGCTGTCCGGTCATGTAAGGGGGGTCTCAGGCTGGTGAGCACCTGCAAGGTCCTGCTGGCACGGCCAGGAGAGGCCCCCAGCCCAGCTGCCACCCCACGGCCGGGCAAAGCAGCCTTCCCCAGCCCGCTCTGGCAGCAGGGCCCATTAAGGAGTTCGGCCCCTGGCCAAAAGCCCCCTCCCTGGCTGGTCCCCGCAGGGACCTATTTTGGGCAGGAATGAGGAAGCTCCTCATTCCCCTGCTAAAAATAGGGACCTTTTTCAGAGGCGGGTCACCGCGTTCACACTGGAGCGCGGGGCTGGCAGGGGGGGCAGGCAGGAAGGGGG